AAAAAAAAAAAAAAAGAATTTATCAATATTAGAAAATTCTGAATCATAATTGATCATATTAAGTTAAAGTAGAAAACAACATGAATCATGTCAGCATTGTACAAAATAATTTTAAGATCAAATTTCCGTAATATTTTAATTAGTACAAAAATAAGTTACTCAAATATGATATAACAAACCCATGGCAAATATAAAAATTAATCATGAAATACTGATTGCACACTCATTGAACTCAAGAATGAGATAAGATTATTTTTTTTATCATTGTCTTTAAATGGTACGATTGAAAATGTAGGCAGACATAAGAAATTAAAACTATAAAACAGTGATTTTGTAAAATGGCTAGATACAAGTATAATGACATTGATAGCTATTGTCTATTAAACTAATAACCTGTTAACAAATAAAGGAGCAATACTTTAATAATATTGTCAAAACATAAAATAGTTTGGAATAAATTCAGCAAAAATAGGGAGGACCTGTTTGTACAAATGGCATGGGAGTGGCATGACTTCCTCTTACTTCATAGAAGGGGAAAAGAATCAAGATCAACATCAATAGTCCAAAGCTGATTCCTATGAAGCAAGAGTTAGACATGCCTTCACCCTCCAAACTTTTTATCATTTCTGACACCAATCATCCCTACCATGGCATTTTCTACTTCTCTGCTGGGTTCAATAACTCACTGCAATGGCCACCTGGAACTCACAGACCATGCTTACAGTTACGGAGTTTTTAGCAAAGTAACAGGTTACAATCCAGGTTCAGGAATTCTCAGGATACACTTCTTCAATCAGATCAGCCTCTTCTCAGCTGTGGCCACAGACAGATCTCTCTCTGGTCTTCAGCCCCCTGGCCTGGCCTCTGGCCTGCTCATCCATGTGTGACAAAGCTCTTTTGGCTCTGTGGGTTTGTGAACTCAGCTCTGCTGCTAAGTTCCCAGAGGCATCCCACTCCACCAACAAGCCTGGGGTTGAGGTGCTCAGCTCTCTTGCTCCGTGGGTCAGTACACACACCATGCCATCTCCTGTGGATCTTCCTGCCAGGCCCTGGTTCTGCCATCTCTGCTGCCACAGATTCTGTGCTGCTGCTTCTTGCTGTCATCTCTCCCGTGCTACAGCTCTCTCTCTCATTCTCCGGAGTTGCGGAGGCTTCCGGTACAGGGATACTAAATCCAAAGGATGCACTCTTCTAGCTATTCTTCTTGCTGGTGATGAGGTCCCCCTTCCCACCTCTAGAATGGTTCATTTTAGCCTCACAGAATGGCAATACTGACCAATCCTTTCTTTAGTGTTCCATACACCTTATTTGCATGGTCTTATCCCCACAAGTGGGAGCTCTTGTAGTGTAGTGCCTAAGGCACTTGACTGCTAACCAGAAGGCTGGAGGTTCAAACTCACCAGTCACTCCTCAGAAGGAAAATGGGGCAATCTACTTCCGTAGTGATGCTGCCTCGGAAACCCAAGGAGGGGTGGCTATGAGTCGGGGCAACTCGATGGCACATATCAACAACAACAACATCCCCGCAACTGTGCCATGTACCTTATTAACATTATTAGCAAGCTATCTAATTCTTTTGTGGGCCACAAGCACCTCATTTGCATAGTCCTTCTAAGTCATTTGGTGGAAGTTACAGACTAAAGCTAGAAGCTGTATTAAGTAGTTCATTTCAATACACTATTCAACCCAAATAAAATCACTTATTAAAATGCCAAAATCAAGACCACCAATATGAAAAGAATAATATGAAAGACTTAAAATCATGTAATGATAGTTCATCTCAATTCTTTTTTTAATGGACAAAATCAAGTTTATATGCAAGAAAAAGGTGTATGGGATTAGTCAAGAGATATACAGAAAATACAAATTCAGAAAGTTGGTACAAAGTAGCAAAACATCCTATAACATCATTATATCAAAGTAATATTTATTTTTAGCATTGTCATAGATAAAGATCAGGGAGAAAAACTAGAGTCCAGAAATTGATGGGAATTAATATTTTTAAAAATGATACCAATATCAGAACTGATTGGAAAAAGAGGGCTGGAAGAATTCGGCATCTATTTGTTAAAAAGCACAAAGAGGTGCATACTTCACATCCTAACAAAATTAAATTGCAGAGACAAAAATATCAAAGAAAAGAAAATAAGACAAATGATTAGAAAAATCCACATGAGTTTGTTCATGTGTTCTTGGTATAAGAAGAATGTCAATTCCCACTTAAAACATCATTCTTAATCTGGAAAATGGAATCTTCCTCCTTAAAATCTGGGGTGGGGGAGAGGTCCATTTTTCTTCAGCTCTGCATTTTAGGTTCTAGCCAGGGTGATTAGGCAAGAAAAGAAATGTAGTGCCTAAGGCATTTGACTGCTAACCAGAAGGCTGGTGGTTCAAGTCCACCAGCCACTCCTGAGAAGTAAGACTGGGGAATCTACTTCCAAGAGATACCACCTCAGGAACCCAAGGAGGGGTCGCTATGATTCAAAGTGGACTTAATGGCAGTGAGTTTAGTTTTTTTGATGTATATTGGAAAATAGAAGTAAAGTCATATGTATTTAGACATGAAAGGAAATATGGAATATGGATATGGAAAATGCTAAAATACCAATTGTTGTTAGTTTCTGTCAAATCAGCTCCTACTCAAGGTGACCCCATGTTTAACAGAATGAAATGTTGCTGGTCCTTCATGATCTTTGGTATGTTTGAGTCACTATTGCAACCAGTGTGTCAGTCCATCTCCATAAGGGTTTCCTTCTCCTCTACTTTACCAGCATGATGTCCTTCTCCAGCAATTGGCCTCTCCTGATGACATGTCCAAAGTAAGTCAGTCAGTCTTAGACACTATTCTGTGTTCCATAGGATTTTTATTGGTTAATTTGTGGAAACAGATCACCTGGTCTTTTTTCCTAGTCTATTTTCATCTAACCTCTGCTGAAGTCTATCCATCATCAGTGACTCTGCTTGTATTTGAAATAACAGTGGCATAGATTCCAACATCACAGCAACACGTAAGACTCCACAGTATGACAAAATGACAAAAAGTGGAAGAAACAGAAACATGCATACAAAAACTACTAGAGCTGATACACATTCAACAACTTTGCTGAGTAAAGACCAAACCAAACAATCAGTGTTTCTAGAGATTAGCAATAAACAATCTGAATTGAAATTAAGAAAACAATTCCACTTACAATAGCATTAAAATCAATAAAATGCTTAGGAATCAATTTTACTAAAGAAGTGCAAATCTTGTACACTGACTGAAAACTACCATATATGCCAAAAAAAAAAAAACTTTGTCATCAAGTCAATTTCAATTTGTAACAACCCAAAGGACAGAGTAGAACTGTTCCACAGGGTTCCAAGGCTGTAATATTTATGGAAGCAGACTGCCACATCTTTCTCCTACAGAGCAGGTAATGGCTTCAAACTACCAACCTTTCAGTTAGCAGCCAAGTTCTTTAACCTTTGTGCCACAGTTGAAAAAAATGTAAGACTCCAAATAAATGGAAAGTCACCCTGTGTTAATGGATTAGAAGAATTTAATATTGTTAATGTGATGTTATCCCCTAACTGATCTACAGATTTAAAGCAAATCCTTATACAAATCCCACTTCCTTCTTTGCAGAAATTGACAAGCTCACTCTAAAATCCATATGGAAACTCAAGAGCTAGAATGGTCAAAATATCTTCAAAAGTAAGAACAAAGTTGGAGGACTCACACTTCTTGATTTCACTACAATTCCACTTGAATCCCATTACAAAACTTCAGTAATCAAGGCATTGTAGTACTGGCATAGGATGTTGTTCCTTGTAGATGTTGCCAATGGAATAGAATTGAGAGCTCAGAAATAAAACCATAATAAATCTATGATCAAATGATTTTTAACAAGGGTGAATAGAAAATCCAATGGGGAAAAATAATCTTTTCAAAAAATGCAGCTGGGAATTCTGGATATTGACATGCAAATAAATGAATCTGTTGCTATGCTGGTAGGTGCTGCTCAGTCAGTTCCAACTCATGCAACCCTATATATAACAGAAAGAAACACTGCTTGGCCCTGGGCAATCCTCACAAATTTGTGCTTGAGACCATTGTTGTAGCCTATAGTGTCAATCCATCTCCTTGAGGGTCTTCCTCTTTTTCATTGACCATATACCAACCATAATGTCCTTCTCCAGGGTCTGGTCCCTCCTAACAACATGTCCAAATATGTGAGACAAAGTCTCACCATCCTCGCTTCTAGGAAACTTTCTGGCTGTACTTCTTCCAAGCAGATTTGTTTGTCCTTTAGGCAGTCCATGATATATTTCAAATTCTTCACAAATATCATAATTCAAACACATTAATTCTTCAGTCTTCCTTATTCACTGTCCATCTTTTGCATGCATGTGAAGCAACTGAAAATACCATGGCTTGCATCAGGTTCATCTTAGTCTTCAATGTGACATCTATCCTGTTTAACAATGTAAAGAGGTCTTTTGCAGCAGATTTGCCCAATGCAATATGTCATCCTTTGATTTCTTGACTGCTGTTTCCAGGGGCATGGATGGGGATTCAAGTGAAATGAAATCCTTGACAACTTCAATCTTTTCTCCATTTATCATGATGTACCTTATTTGTTCAGTTGTAAGGATTTTTGTTTTGTTTATGTTGAGCTGTAATCCATACTGAAGTGCAAAAAGGTCAAGGGGTTGGCATTGTCTGACCTCCTCCAACTTCACAAAGGGGAAATAGAGTCACCACCAACAGCCCAAGGCTTATTCCTCTGAGGCCAGACATGCTACCACCCTCCAGCCTTTTTACCAATTTTGATACCATCCTTCCCTCCCACAGCACTCAGTACTTATCTTCTGGGTTTGATAATTCATGGCAATGGCCACACAGAACTCCACTTTCTCATTCCATGAGCCAGAAAGCCCACTGCTCTGTCTCCTGCCTCTTGGTTCCACTGTCGCCTTCTCTCAGCTGGGCATCTCTCTCTGCTGGGTGTCTCTCTCTGCTGGGAGTCTGCAGGAAGGCTGTAACATTTGATCTTTATCAGTAAATGTCTCAAATCCTCTTCACTGTCACCAAGCAAAGTTGCTTCATCTGCATATGGTAGGTTGTTCAGGAGTCTTCCCCCAATCCTGATGCCATGCTATTCTTCATATAGTCCAGCTTCTCAGATTATTTCCTCAGCATACAAATTGAGTAAGTATAGTGAAATAATACAACCTGATAAACACCCTTCCTGATTTTAAACCATTCAGTATACCCCATTGTTCTGTTTGAACAACAGCCTCCTAATCTACGTACAGGTTTGTCATGAGCTTATTTAAGTGTTCTGGAATTCTCATTCTTCTCAATGTTATCCATAATTTGTTATGATCCACACAGTGTAATACTTTTTCAAGGTCAACAAAACACAAGTTTTCCAGTAAAGGAAAACCCTCAATGAGATGGACTGATATAGTTGCTACAATAATGAGCTCAAACATACAAATGAGGATGGCATAGGACCAAGTGCTGTTTTGTTTTGTTGGACATAGGGTCATTATGCATGGACATGGACTCAATGGCACTTAACAATAATGACAACAGTTTTTGTTTGTCATATTTTCTTTTTCTGTCTTTTTGTTGTTCTCCTTTCTTTTTTTTCCTTCAATTCATTTTTCATTTTTGTTTATTGGCCTTTCTTTTCTTTTTCTTCTTCTTTGTTAATTTTCTTTGTTTTTTTTTCTAAATTGATGACAGATAGACATTGCTGAGCCACACTGCACCTCTGGCAGCCCCACCCACTGGGTGAATGCCACAACCTACTGCTACACCAGCTGATCGGTGACAGATGTCATCAAACACCAGCAAAGCCCTCCCTGAACTGCTCTACATAAACAATGAATGGAGAACTGTACACATACTCCTATACTCTATCACAGCCACCAAAAGAGAGGTGGTAAGCACCTAAGTACTGTTAAATTAATAAGCAGAGTAATGTTCCTACTCCACTTTCTCAGATGACATATCTGATGATAAACAAGATAAGGTTTTTTAAAAAATAAAACCCTGAGCAAAACGTACTAACATACAATCAAAATAAATACAAATATAAAAAACCACAATGTCTTGGAGACAACCTCAGTCACAGAAAGGAACAAGATAGGGTGGCTCAAACAAGTGACCAAAATACAGAGCAATAAAACCTTCCTGAGGAAGAAATGACATTGATACTACATGGCAAGCAATTCAAAAGACTTACACTTGAGTACTTGATGGCAGTGAGTTTGTTATTTTTTTTTTTTTTTATAGGATAGACAGAAACATCAAGATAAACACAGACAAAATTAAGGAAAACACAGACAAAACTCTAGAAGAATTCAGAAAAAACTGACAAAATAAATGGAAAATTAGAAATCATACATAAACATCAAATAGAAATCCAAAAGTTTAACACTAACATTTCAGAAACAGATAAAGCACTAAAAGGCAAAAGAGTAGTATTGAATTAATGGAAATTAGCAAGATTGAAGACAATTCTTTCTATACTAACCTGTTAGAGAAACAATCATAAAGAACAATGGAGGAAAAGACAAAAACAAAAAAGGCTATATTATGTGAGACATCATCAATAATAATTTATGTATTCCAGAACAAGAAGAGACAAAAATAAACACCAAGAAAAATGTAGATTTGTTAGAGGAAAAATTCCCTAATAACATGAATGATGACAAGATATGCATTCAAGAATCTCAATGAACCCCAAAAAATATAGACCCCAAAAGAAAATTACAAAGATATATCATAATCAAATTTTCCAAAATGAAAGACAAATAGACCCTGAAAGCAACTCAGGAAAAATGAAAATGAAAGGAGAACCAATATGACTTTGTTCTGATTTCTTGGGAGAAACCATGCAGGAAAGAAAGCAATGGTATGATACATATAAAACACTAAAAGAAAAAAATTGCCAACCAAGAATTATGTACCCAGAAAAATTGTCCCTCAAATACAACAGCAAAATTAGGACATTCCTGGATAAACAGAAATTAAAGAAATATATAAAAACCATACCAACCTTACAAGAAATACTAAAGGGAGTTCTTCAGACAGAGAACTAATATCAGACAATAACTTGACATTAACACACATGACAATGTCATCCAGAAACTACCCAGACATGTTACTGTTGTTGTTTTGTGCCATCAAGTTGGACCCAACTCATAGTGACCCCTCCTTGGGTTTCTGAGGCAGTATCACTATGGAAGTGGATTGCCCCATCTTCCTTCCAAGGAGTGGCTGGTGGGTTTGAACTGTCAGCCTTCTGGTTAGCAGTCAAGTGCCTTAGGCACTATGCTACCCAGACATAGAAGTAGCCAAAGTAAAATAAACCTACAAGACTAGAAATAGGGAACCAAATACATTAATTTGTAATTCATGGCAACTACAAAACAAAAACAAAGAATAAATATTGTAAATACAGAGCATTCAAATGGAGAGGAAGTCAGGGCAATTTCAAGATAGAGCAGACTATTTTAAACCTGGGAAGAAAATGAAAAATTACAGGGCAACTTTAAAGAAAATTTATAAATGTTCTCATCCAAAAAAGAGGAAAATCATGAAGATTTAGTAAACATTATAACAACAGCACTAAAGGAAATGACAAAAAAATCTATAAACAAAATAAACTTAGCAGGAAAAATATATGGTACAAAGAAATCAGCAGCACCACACACATACACACACAAACAGCAAAATGACAGCAACAAAATATATTTACTAATAATTACTCTGAATTTAAAAGGATTAAATGTACCATCAAGAGAGAGAAAGTAGTAGAATGAATAACAAAACAATATACTGTCTACAAAGACACAACTTAGACACAAAGAAAAAAATAAACTAAAAATTAAAGGTTGGAGAAAACTTCTCAAGTAATTGGCAAACAGAAAGAGCAGAAATGAATATATTAATTTCTTATAAAATAGACCGTAAGGCAAAAACAAGCACAAGAGACAAGAAAGGGTATTATATAACGATTAAAAGATCAGTGAAACAAGAGGACATAACCATACTAAATGTCTACACACATAATGAAAGAGCCTGAAATTACGTAAATCAAATGTTAACAGAATTGAAAAGAGAAATAGATAACTCCACAACAATAGTAGTATACATTAATATACCACTTTCAATGCAAGACTGAACAACTAGAAAGAAACTCAACAGAGACACAGAAGAATTAGACACACAATCAACTAACTGGATCTCATAGACATATACAAAATACTCCATCAAATAAAAATACAATATACATTTTTACTGAGCACACATAGACAATTCTCCAGATAGACCATATGTTACAGTAACATTACAAAGTAAGCCTCAATAAATTTAAAATCATCAAAATAACACAAAACATCTCAGATCACAAACTACAAAATTAGAAATTAAGAACAGGGAGACAAGGAAAAAAAATCTAATATGTGGAAACTGAATAACACACTGCTCTAAAACTACTAGGTAATAGAAGAAATAAATTTAAAAAGAAATAAAAAATTCCTTGAATCAAATAGAATGGAAACACAACATACCAAACCCTTTGGGACACAGCAGAAACAGTATTCAGAGGAAAATTTATAGTAATAAAAGCACACATCAAAAAGAAGAATCAAAATCAACACCTTATCCAATATCAAGAATTAGAAAAAAGCAGTAACAAAAAACCCTACAGTCATGAAAAGAAAGGAAAATACATTGATTTGAGCAGAGTTAAATGAAATAGAAAACAGAAAAACAATAGAATCAACAAGACTAGAAAATTCTTTGAAAAGATTAAAACAATTGACAAATCACTGGCAAATCTAACAAAGGAAAAGAAACAGAAGATGTAAATAAGACAAATAAGACATGAAATGGGTGATGCCACCAGAAAAGCAACTGAAATGAAAAGGGTAATACAGGATACTATGAAGAATGGTACTCCAACAAATCTGAGAACCTTGAAGAAATGGACAAATTTCTGAAAACAGCTCTAACTAAATTAACAAACTGAGGTAGAAAAATTGAACAGTCCCAAAACAAAAGAAGAAATTAGTAATAATAATAAATCTACAAACAACAAAAAAGTCCTGATCCAGAGAATCTCACTGGTAAATTCTAACAAACATTCGGAGAAGTTGCTGTTGTTGTTGTTATGTGCCATCGAGTCAGACCCGACTCATACTGACCCCTCCTTGGGTTTCTGAGGAAGTATCACTATGGAAGTAGATTGCTCCATCTTCTTTGGAGAAGAGCTGACACCAATTCTACTCAAGCTATTCCAGAATATAGAAAAGGAGAGAATATTCCTGAATTCATTCTATGAAATGAGCATAACCCTGATACCTGGCAAAGACACAACTGAAAAAGAAAATTATAGAGAAATATCACTATATTATTATTATATTATATTGCATATTTTTTATGAAAAATATTCTAAACAAAATCATACCCTATGAAATCCAACACCATATAGAAAAATAATAATACATCATGACTGTGATAGTTGGGGTTGTGTCAACTTGGATGGACCATGAATCTGAGTGGTTTAAGGAATTGTGATGTGATTGTTCCCATGAGAATATGTCTGGAATACAGAAGATTCTTTAGGACATCTCTTAGTACTACGATACCCTGTGATTAAAATCAATGGAAAACTACACCAACCCAATACTGATATTGACTACTAATGGCCCAGACT